TCTTTCTTTCTTTCTTTCTTTCTTTCTTTCTTTCTTTCTTTCTTTCTTTCTTTTCTTTCAGATTTTATTTTTGTGTAATCTCCATACCCAATGTGGGGCTCATACTTACAATCCTGAGATTCAAGAGTTGCATGCTCTACCAACTGAGCCAGCCAAGGCACCCTGGTCAGTGAGATTTTCTTCAAATAAGCAAAATCATTTGGATAACAAACAGATATAAAAAAAAAAAAGACATGGATTTTTCAAAGTGATTCACATGTTGTGGAATTTCAAATATGCATTTAAAAAATGGATCTGCATGCATATCTGTTCATGGAAAGAGTGTAGAATTATCTGACACAAGCCAACTGGGAGAAAAGATTTTTGGAGTGCAATAGGCAAGTGTATACAGGGATCTGAGATTATAAACTAATAGTGAGAGAGACTTCAATGTCAAGGGACACAAAGCAGTAAGATCAATGAAACAAATTATGTATTTTACATCAACAGGTCATTAGGAAGAGTGTCAGACATGGATATAGAATCTATGATCTGTTATTAGAATATCTATGATTTGTGAAAATCTACAAAAGCATTACCAATTAAGACACATTTGAAAATGTTAAAATAATAAAAAGTGTGTTTCTTAGTGAGGTCATAGCAATGCTATTAATTGTGTCTCTGGGCTGTAACAAATAAAGCAGTTTGTTTCCTTAAAGATACTCATTTGTCAACACATATGATATTATTTTTCTCATTAGCCAAACTTAAAATTTTCAATTGATTTTTTTTATGTCTTTGTAACTGAGGCCCAACTCTTCCCTCTTTAGGGATTATCTCATTCCCAATCAATAAATTCTGCAGATTTAACCTTTTAAATATTTATTTAATCACTTTTCCCATCCATCCCTACTATCATTACCTTAATTCAGGCTTCCATTAATGCAGCAACCTATCGATTGATCTACCTGTATTTCATTCCCCTTAGCTCTATCTTCTACAAAACCAGAGGGAGGTTGTAAAAACAAACTCTGCCATGTAATTTCCCTGTTTAACATCTTTTCTTGAATCCCTATTACATGTATATATCAGACATATTGTGGGTTTGGTTCCAGACCACTACAATAAAGCAAAATATCACAATAAAGTAAGTTAAATGAATTTTTGGTTTCCCAGTGCATATAAAAGTTATGTTTACATTGTAGTCTGTTAAGTGTGCAATAGCGTTATGCCTAAGAAACAATGTATATACCTTAATTTAAAAAGTATTGTTTGTGGGTCACCTGGGTGGCTCAGCCAGTTTAGCATCTGACTTCGACTCTGGTCATGATCTCATGGTTTGTGGGATCAAGCCCCACGTTGGGCTCTGCACTGACAGCTTGGAGCCTGCTGGGGATTCTCTCTCTCTCTCTCTCTCTCTCTCTCTCTCTCTCCTTCTCTCTCTGCCCCTCCCCTTCTGTCTCTATTAAAAATAAACATTAAAAAAAGAATAAAAGCAAGAATTGCTTGTATAGAACTGTTGAATCACTATATTGTACACCTGAAACTAACACAGTGTGTTAACTACACTGGAATTAAAATTTAAAATGTTATAAAAATTAAACAAAAAGAAAAAGAAAAAATACGTTATTGCTAAAAATGTGCTACCCATCATCTCAATTTTCAGTGAGTTGTAATCTTTTTGCTGGAGGGTCTTACCTCAATATCGATGGCTGCTGACTGATCAGGGTGGTGGTTGCTGAAGGCTGGGGTGGCTGTGGCAATTTCTTACAAGAAGACAGCAATGACGTTTGACATATCAATTGACTCTTCCTTTCACAAATGATTACCCTGTAGCATGGGATGCTGTTTGATAGCATTTTATGCACAGTAGAACTTCTTTCCAAATTGGAGTCAGTCTTCTCAAACTCTGCCTCTGCTTTATCAACTAAGTTGATGTGATATTCTAAATCCTCTATTGTCATTTCAACAATCTTCACAGCATCTTCACCAGGAGTAGATTCCATCTCAGGAAACCACTGTCTATACTCATCCATAAGAAGAAATTTCTCATCCATGAAAGTTTTATCATGAGGTTTCAGCCATTCAGTCACATGTTCAGGCTCCACTTCCCATTCTAGTTCTCTTGCTGTTTCCACCACACCTGTTACTTCCTCCATTGAAGTCCTGAGCCCCTCCAAGTCATCCATGAGGGTGGGAATCAATTTCTTCCACTCCTGCTCATGTTGACATTTTGACCTCTTCCCATGAATCATGAATGTTTTTAATGGCATCTAGAATGGGACTATTCCAGAAGGTTTTCAATGGACTTTGCCCAGACCCATCAGAGGAATCACTATCTATGGCAACTATAGCCATATGAAATGTATTTCTTAAATAATAAGACTTCAAAGTCTAAGTAACTTCCTGATCCATGGGAAGCACAATGGATATTGTGTTAGCAGACATACAAACAACATTAATCTGGTTGTACATCTCCATCAGAACTCCTGGGTGACTCCTGGTGCATTGTCAATGAGTAGTAATATTTTGAAAGAAATCCTTTTTTTCTGAGCAATAGGTCTCAACAGTGGGTTTAAAATATTCAGTAAACTGTGTTGTAAACAGATGTGCTGTTATCCAGACTTTATTGTTCCATTTATAGAAAACAGAGTGGATTTACAATTCTTAAGGGTCTTAGGATTTTCAGAATCATCAATGGGCATTGGTTTAAACTTCTTAAGTCACCAGCTATATTAGAAACAAGAGTCAGCCTATCCTTTGAAGCTTTGAAGCCAGGCATTGACTTTTCTCTCTAGCTAAGAAAGTCCTAGATGGCATCTTCTACCAATAGAAGGCTACCTGCTGCATAGAAAATCTATTGTTTATTGTAGCCACATTCATGAATTATCTGAGCTGAATCTTCTCAATAACTTGCTGCAGCTTCTACATCAGCACTTGCTGCTTTACCTTGGACTTTTCTGTTACGGAAATGACTTCTTTCCTTAAAGCTCATGAACCAAACTCTGCTAGCTTCAAACTTTTCTTCTGCAGCTTCCTCACTTCTCTCACTCTTCAAGGAATTGAAGAGAATTGGGGCCTTGCTTTGAATTAGGCTTTGAATGAAGGGAATGCTGTGGCTGGTTTGATCTTCCATCCAGACCACTACAACTTTCTCCGTACCGAAAACAAGGCTGTTTTGCTTTTTTATCATTTGTGTGCTCACTGGAGTAGCACTTTTAATTTCAAGAACTTTTTCATAGTATTCACAGCTTGGCTAACTGGCACAAGAGGCCTACCTTTTGGCCTGTTTTGGCTCATGACATGGCTTCCTCACTAAGCTTAATCATTTCTGGCTTTTGATTTAAAGTGAGAGATGTGCCACTCTTCCCTTCACTTGAACACTTAGAGGCCTTTGAAGGGTTGTTAATTGG